TGTGTGTGTGTGTGTGTGTGTGTGTGTGTGTGTGTGTGTATATACTTGTTTTTGTTACCTGTTTAGGACTGTTTCCAGTATACACACCTACCTTGTCAAGGCCATTAGTACTAATGGGGACCAAAGACCGGTCCTAATATGGTTGGACTCCATTTTTGAGTTGGGGGTTGGGTTTAGGACCAAGGTATGAATTGAGTTTAGGTTAGTTTTAGGGTCAGGTAGGTACCTGTGAAGTTAGGGTCAGGGCTGGTGGTCAGGGTTAGGATATAAAACTACCAAAAAATGAATGGAGGTCAATGGATGGGCCCCACAAGGATATAAAAACAAGTGTTTGTGTGTGTGTGTGCGTGCGTGCGTGCGTGCGTGTGAATATATGCATGTGACCAAATTGGTTTAAAACTATGGATTTTATTAAAACTTTCAGAAAATAATCACTGACTGTATCACAACTGCTGATTAATTTTTGGAGCCAAACTAATTCAAGACAGTTGCAACTGACCTTAAAAAACACAAAATGTCTCATATTCAGATAACTTTAACAATATTGAACTGATACTAGTTGTAGCTGMGAGTCATTCAGAACACATCCTCCAAGTGCTGCTTGTGGACAAGATCCTTGTGTGAAACATCACCTGTTGGAGTCAATGCTGTTTGTCTGATACCAAAATACAATTCCAGTTAAGTTGGGACTTTGTGTAAAACACAAATAAAAACAGAAGACAATGATTTGCAAATCTTTTTCAACCCATTTTCAATTAAATACACCAGAAAGACAAAATATTTAAAGGTTCAAATGGTAAAACTGTATTGTATTTTTTTTTTGTTTTTTTTTTGTTTGTTTTTTTTTTGCTAATATTGACTCATTTTGAATTTGATGCCWACAACACTTTCCAGACAAGCTGGGACAGGGGCTTATTTACCACTGTGTTACATCACCTTTCCTTTTAGCAACACTCAGTAGGAGCGGAGGACACTAATTGTTGAAGCTTTGCAGGTGGAATTCTTTCCCATTGGTGTTCAACTGCAGTTGCTGAACAGTCCAGGGTCTCTATTGTCATATTTTGTGCTTCATAATGCTCCACATATTTTCAATGGGAGACAGGTCTGGACTGCAGGCAGGCCAATCTAGTACCCGCACTCTTTAACTACCAAGCCATGGTGTTGGAACATGTGCAGAATGTGGCTTGGCATTGTCTTGCTGAAATAAGCAGAGATGTCCTTGATAAAGACATGGCTTGGATGGCAGCACATGTTGCCCCAAAACCTGTATGCRGCTTTCAGCATTAAAGGTGCCCTCACAAATGTGCAAGTTACCCATGCCATGGGCACTAATACGCCCCCATACCATCAAAGATGCCGGCTTTTGAACTTTGCACTGATAACAATCCAGTCAGTTCATTTCATCTTTGGCCCGGACAACACAGCGTCCGTGATTTCCAAAAAACAACTTGAAATGTGGAACTCTTCAAACTAGTGATGGGTACATGAGGCATCATGAACTGTGTCACTGAATACTGACACCTGCTGGACMTTAAAAATCCCTACAGGCAACCTAGTTGACAGATTCAACTGACACTGATTTGATAACCTAGTATGCGCAATAATATAATTTAAGTCATTGAATCTTATATTGCAGTGTTTCCCAAAGTTGGGGTCCAGACCTAAAGTGGGGTCCCGAAACATCAAGGTGGGGTCCTGAAAAGATTTTCTGAATTAATTACCTTATTGTCTTAGTTATTTCAAAGGAGTGAGGTTAGTATATCTAAATGGATAAATGTGTATAAAAATATTGTTACTATGCCCATGTTTTGTTGACCTGATACAAATGTTTAACATACAAAAACAGTTGGGGTCACAGGTCTCTGCTACTGTTATTTTGTGGGTCAAAAGCTGAAAAGTTTGGGAACCACTGCACTTTG